AAGTAAAATCCTTAGACATGTCTAGATTTTACATCTCTGGAATAGCCATTAAAGGCAAGTCTACAAGTGAATCATTCTCTGAATTTCTGTATCATGAGGTATTAAATCGTTATTAAATTAGATCCTCAGAAAGAAGCATATTCAGTAGTTTAAGATCTAAATAGTCATTTCCTATAAGAATGGTTATTTGTAGCATAAACGAATAAAACAAATTTTACTCTTTTTCAAGTCTTTGTATTCTATATTTTGGCAAAAACAGATAATATTTACTATTTTTATATGATCATCATAAATCCCACAAAATAATGGTAAGTGAACATACATTCCAATATGGGTATGCCATAAAAATTTTGGAGACTTCTTTTGAATTTGAATTAGCTTGAATTCTTCTATGAAATAGCTTTCAGGTTTTCTGCTTGCTTTCCTATCCTCTTAGCTTCTGTTTACATTTTATGTTTTAGCCTTATTGGGCTGTCCTGCTTCTCAAATGGGATACTCACTCTCATTCTTGTGAATGTAATTTAAAGACTGTAGCATAGTAGTGCTCCAAGTGTGGCCCTTGGACATTTGTTTCAATCCATGACAATCTAAGTGAGAATTCTAGAGGAAGCATTAGCATCCTGAGTTGCATTTTGTGTGGTCATCCTTGCCTCCAAGTTCATAGCCAGTGGACAGATCTGTGCAGAGGGTATACTATTCAGATCTCTGCATAGGGTATACTGTTCAGATCTCTGCATAGGGTATAAATTAGTCACATTTGCAGTGTGTAGATTGGTACAAGGATCGTGGGAAGTTGCCTGTTAGTCGGACACAGGGATGCTGTTCAAGCATATGGTACCTTTGTATCAGTCATTTGTGACTCAAAAAATGTTTAAGAATTGAGGAAGGCGTGAGCATTTATTAATTATTATTAACAACTATGTGTTAATGTTAATCAGAGTTGTGTTCCATAAGTGAAACAATTTGAATGTAGAATTGACTACTAAAATAAAATGTGTTTTCATTATTTTCAGTTTCTGCTTTTCAAAATGTTTGCTAAATCTTAGGAGATTTGTATTTATCTTGGATTCTAATTTACTAACAACCAAGCAAACTTTACAGAACTTTTTTGATGAAGACAGTCACTTTTTGCTTATTGTAAAAGTAGTAGAAAATTGAATGATGACAGTAGAGGTCATTCCAAAGAGGTACAGGACCAGTCTTCAGGAGTTTGATTGAGAAGTGTCATTTCTCAGTATAACTGAGTTCAGGCTTTGCCACAATGACAGAGAAGTGCTAAGTCCGTAGGGCATTGCTCACAAACACACTGGCTAATGAACCAGTTTAAGCATGAAAATGTATGTGACATTTGAATGAAGGACATAAATGGGCTCAAAATAAATTGATTGATAGAATGCATTTGGCTTCGTCATAAAAACAGACATTCAGGATTATTGTAATCATTAATTAGTATTTTGTAAGTTTCTTACCAAGCCTTTCTTCGGGTTGCCAGTGTTAAAACAGGACAGGGCTGGAGGAATGGCTCTGCCCTAAATTTCAGGGACCTGAGTCTGATCCTCAGAGCCCACATGAAAAGTTCAGCCATGGCAGCCTGAACCTGCCTTTGTAATCCCTGCACTGAGGAAGTGGAGATGGGTAGGTAGGTCCTGGAGATTGCTAAAACTACCCTGTTTAGTGAGCTCTGGGCAAATAAAGAGACTATCTCAATTTTTAAAAAAGTAAATAAATAAGTGTGGCAATGCTTAAGGAATGACACTTGATCCTGTACTCTGGCATCTATAATTGTACGTTCATCACCCTAGGCTGATCTGTGCATAGAGTATAGACTAGTCCGATCTGCATAGTGTATTGATTGCTAAATGAACCATGGGAAGTTGCATGTTGTTAGGAACAAGACAGCATTCAATAACGGTCAGCTCTCAGACAAACAAGAAATTCCATAGACTGATAAACCTGTTCATTATTGGCACAACAAGGAACAAGTTATTTTTCAGCTTTGTTGCTGATAGACCCAACTTGCTGTAAAAATACATGAGTTTTAAAGGGCTGCATGCAGTTTGCAGTTTTGCTTTGCATTTGTTATGTATAGTGTTCCTCCTGCATGTACACCTGCATGCCAGGAGAGGGTAACAGATCTCATTACGGATGGTTGTTAGCCACCATGTGGTTGCTGGGAATTGAACTCAGGACCTCTGGAAGAGCTGCCAGTGCTCTTAACCACCTAACTGTCTCTCCAGTCCCCTTGCTTTGCTTTTGTAATAATGCACTGTGATTATGATGAAGTAGGCACGCCCACAAGATGCTGAAGCACTCATCAGAGTATAAGCAGTAAGCTACTTTCCTCTTTTGAGAAAGCCTTGCTGCCTTAGCTGAACTCCATCAACTGAATTCACAGTGGTTCACTAAAGCCCTAGGGAATAAACACTAATGCTTTAAATCTGAGATCCCTGAAAACTGTTAGCTGGGGGGTTGATCTTATCATTCAGGCTAATCAACTCTTATATGCCGAGTGCTTATGCATTGGCTTTCAAAGGGATAATTTCAGCAGAAGTATTTGAACTTCGGGGTGAACTTTGGCTGTTTTTGCAAGATAAGAGTGTAGCTTGGCGGCCAGCTTTAGAAATATGTGCCTTAGACTTACTTGGCTGCTGGCACACTCCCCATCCCCCACTTGTCTCTTTTTTAATTATCTTAACCTTTTGTGCAAGGAAGGAATGTCAGATGTTTTTCAGTGGCAGATAAGATCAAAGAAAGAAACAAAAGGTAGAAATTATAGGGTGAAGTTTCTATAGCTTGCCTTCGTGGGTTCCCAGTAAGTGAGAATAATAAACGAAGTCGGTGGTTGCTGTGGCATTGCACGCTGAAAATTACTGTCGGATCCCCTAAGGTCAGACAGGATGAAAAGATGTATGCATGGCCAGTTCATACACCAGAAATCCATTTGTCCTCTAAAGACTATTTGAGATTTTACAATAATTTTACATACAAAATATTTCAGGTGGCCACTAATGGAATATGGAAAACAAAAAATTTAAAAAACATAAGCTGTAGATTTTTGATTAATGTTTTTTGTTTAATGTTTTGTTTATGATCTAACAAAGCTTGCCTGAAGATCAGAGAAGCAAAGCAGCCAGCCACTAGAGAGTTCTCACCTCTACCAGTGCTCAGACCGAAGGGGTGATCCTGTCCTCAGATTGCATCTCCAGATTGCACTGCTCCCTACCAAACCTCAGACTCCTTTTAGATTGCAAAGAGTTCCTGTCTCCTCCCACCTTATATTCCTCTCTCAGCCCAGAGAACTCTCTAGTGGCTGGCTGCCTTGCTTTTTTGATTTTCAGGCAAGCTTTAGTAGTTTATGAGCAAAGTGTCACCACAGTTTCTCAGTGTAGCCCTGACTGTCCCAGAACTTGCTCTGTAGACCAGGCTGGCCTCAAACTCAGTCTGAGATCCTCCTGCCTCTGCCTCCCAAGTGCTGGGATTAAAAGCATGTGCTACCATGCCTGGCTCAGCTCATATTTTTGAAAAATGATTTTCCTGAGCTTTCTGGAGTTGCTTTAAATTGTTTTTGTCAACAGGCTTCTAAGTGCTAAGAGACTAGTTTCTAAGTGCTATGGAAACAAAGTGTTTTGCTATAGACGTACCATGTACTAATGTAATCTAGTATAGATGAATCAACAAATACAGTAACTAGCCTTCAAGTTGGCCCCTGATGAGCCCTCCCTCAGGTTCTTATGCCTTGTGCAATCCCCCCTGTCAGTGTTATATCAGGGTGGTCCATATGTATTGTAAAAGGAGACAGAAGTGATGGGTTGCCACCTTGAGACTGAGGTGTGGCAGACACTACAGCTTCTGGCCTAGTTCCCATGTCAGTTCTCTCTAGAAGACTGTTGCCATGTGTTAAGTAGCCACTAGAAGGCCCCACATGGGGACAAATTGAGGCCTCTGGCCTACAGCCAGAGGCACTGAATCCATTTGCCCACTGATGCCTGAGTGTGTGCTTGGCGGCCAAGTCTGCAGCTCAGTCAAGCCTTCAGATGTCTGTAGCTCTGACTAGCATCTTGACAAAAGGCTCACAGGAGACTCTCAGTCTTAATTACCTCCTAAGCTGGCTTCCAAATTCCGGAGCAACACAAGATTTGAGGCAATGAATGTGTGTTTCCTTAAGTCACAAAGTTTGGGGGTAATTTTTATGTAGTAGGAGACAATACAGAGAGCAGAACAAAGCTTGTTGCGTGGGATACTTTTAAATATCGACAGTACTATTAAATCAGCTGTAAGTTAGTGTTTAATTTGAGGAAGCACTGATTAAGTTTGCAGCATGAAGAGTGAGTTGCCAGTGTATAAGTAGTTGCAAACTTTGAGTGGGAAATAGGCAACTTTATGCAGGTTTGTTTTTTCTGTTCTAATTATATTTTGTGTTTATGTTGTGGAACTTAACGAGACACTGAACTTTGAAAATAAAAGGCATTTTTAAAAAGAAAAAATAAGCCAGGCTTTGGTGGTATGTGCCTTTAATCTCAGCACTCAGGAGACCAAAGCAGGTGGATCTCTGTGAGTTTGGGGACAGCCAGGACTACACAGAGCTCTGTCTCAAAAAAATAAAATATAAAGAGAAGTGAATTTTTACCATAGGTGGTCTAGGAGATCCATTTTGTTCCAGATGTTAGCGTGTCTAACATTGATCTAAGAATGGTGGTACAAGGAATGTACCTGGTAGCATTCCTTGTTGACAGGACAGCTTGTGTGTGTGGTTGCTACAGACATCTTCAGTACCTAGAATAGTACCTGACACTAACACCCACGGGTGTTAGTGCTTTTGTATGTACCTTTTCCCCTATTGTGTTAGTAAGACTGAGGATTAAATCCTGTGGCTGTAAATAATTTCTAACTGTGTGTCCTCAGGGAGTGCTAATTGTTCAGGCTGAAGAGGAAAATAGCCATGGCATTTTTCTTTCAGAGTGCTAGTGATGTTTATGAAATACTCACTTTTATTTCCATAGCACAACCACTGCCTCAGAAGATGATGTCTCAAGTAGATATCCCCGAACAGACAGAAGTGGCTTCAACAGACATAACAGAGATGCAAACGCAGCGGGGAATTTCGCCTCAAGTAGCACATTGGAAAAGAGAATTGAAGATCTCGAAAAGGTATGAGTTGTAAATTAATTCAAAATAAAATTAACATGTCTTAGCATTCCTCTCTGTTTCAGGGCATTATGTCCAAAAGGAGGGGAGGGGGGCACTAGCAGGAGACACCTGGTTCTGCTTCAGGAACAACTTTGACTCCATCCTATGTATTTGCTCCTAGACGCTAGTGGTTAGGTATTTCCCAGTTTCCTTAGTGCTTGTGATAGCAAAACTTCAGAAATGGGCCAACTCCTTAGTCAGGTAGCCATTGCTTAGGTGTCTACCCCTGCAGTGGGTATTTCTGTGTGCTGCATCACCTGAACGGATTGTTACTTTAGACCTTTCAGTGGCTCTTTGTTAGGTCCCTATTTGGTGCTTGAGCCATTTTTATGTAGGAATAAGATAAACTTGCAGAGGTCTTGGCAGCAATTCGGATGAACGTTGCCCTAAAGCTATGAACCCCATAATCTCAGGTTTGTCCCACAGACGTTGATCTAAAGTCGATAATGGTGCTGCTTGTTGTAGAATATTATTTTAAGATGTGTTACATTTGTTTATGCTCTGGAACATTTGTTTAGTGGCGTAAAGATGTGTTGCTTTTGTTTATGCTGCATTTGCTTAGCTCTGTGAAGCTGTGATTCTTTGTCTGAAACTCCTGATGGTCCTAATAAAGAGCTGAACAGCCAGTATCCAGGCAGGAACAAGGATAGGCAGGTGATGCAGCGCACAGGAATACCGACCACAGGGGCAGACACCTAAGCCCTCAAAAACACTGTTATTCACACAAGTCAGAGTCGACAGAATAGCAATGGGGCTGGCAGGCAGAGAGGATAAATAGGAGAAATCTGGAAGAAGAGGAAGAGCAAGATAGAGGACATCAGGGACTAGCCACCCAGTCTGCCAACCACAGAGTAAGAGTGAAAGTAAAAAAAAAAAAAAAAAAAAAAAAAAAAAAAAAAAAAAAAAAAAGACCAGAGGCAAAAGGTAATTGGGATAATTTAAGTTTAAAAAAAAAAGTTTAAAAAAGCTGACTAGAAACAAGCCAAGCAAAGGCCTGGCAGTTGTAAGAAATAATAAGCCTCTCTCTCTCTCTCTCTCTCTCTCTCTCTCTCTCTCTCTCTCTCCCTCTCT